CATGGAGCTTTCTAATCGATAGTTCTCCACGCTCTGTGAACGGTCGTCGAGTGTGCATGCTAATCGATAATTCCTCACGCTATGTGTACGGTCGTTAGCATTCGCCGTTTGCCAGCGCGTATGACTCCAAGCCGTAGACTCTGAGCGCAAGGCCGCTAGCGTCCGTATAACAATAAAGTTACTTTAAACTGTCTTGGATTGAATCATTCTTAATAAAACGGAAGACTGGGAGTATATTTTTCAGTTTTGCTCACTTTTAAGGCCGGTGATCGCTCGCTCGTCGACGTAATTGCCCACGAGGCGAGCCACTCATGGACGGGTAATCTGGTCACAAATGCGTCATGGGAGGACTTTTGGCTCAATGAGGGTCATACCACGTACTTGGAAGCCTTGGTATTGGAAGCAATGTATGGATCGGACTACCGCGAACTTCATATTGAACTTGGCTACGGGGAACTTCAGGCTTGTGTAAGTTTTTGTTTTCCGTTCAACGATTTCCTTTATCCCTGAAAGATAATTCGGTTACATCGTGAATTGAAACTGAAGACCGAACCTGTTTGCGATTAGTCGGTCAATTCACCGGTTGGAATAAATACCTGCCTTTCTGCCAAAAAGATGCTATCTTTTAGAAATCTCCGGATCGCAATTTCTTACACAAATGGAAGTACGGTTCCCTGTGCTGGAGGAGGACGAGAGAGTAGTAGATGGTCAGTGAATCTGCGGTGGGCTGGACGTTCCTCATGGGAGCAGGGCTCGGTGAGCCGTGCTCGTAGTGGGAAACCGGGCTGACATGGCGTTTGATGCTGGCCGGATTTGAGTAACAAACAATAACGCATTCTCTCGGTCGGTTTGTGTTCCCCATAACGAAAACGTCAGTAGCATTTCACTTTAATCGAAAATCGCGTGTGAGTGCCTGCTCAACGACAAGGGCAAGGAGCGGTACAGACATTCGGATAGGTTGCTGGTTTTTATAAACAGCTGTGCTCACACTTTGACCCAAAGGACCAATATACCCAAAGAAGCAATCAGCGCACGAGATGCAAGCACTGCTACACACACCTACTGACTTTCAGTCCTCCTTAACTAACTGGGCCGCACTAGCTCTTGCGTTTGCTCTTCTGCCATCCCTTGGGTGTTTTATCGCCTCTGTAGAGCATGCAAAAGGCCATATCCTTGCCATGTCGTAAACTGCACTTGATCATCTGATTGGCGGGCTCGAACCAGGCGTTTGTGAGTTCGAAGATGTTCAGCTGTTCATGGTAGGCCTTTTCGGCCGACACTTTGGGTGCGTAGGTGTTGAGCGGAAAGGGAATGCGGGGGTAGGGCACGAGGTTGGTCTGAAATTAAATGAGATCGTCATTGAGAGCGCCATGGAAGCGTAGTCAGGCGGTGAAGGAGCTGACGATCTCGGCGATGAGTCGATTAAGATTTGTGTACGTTGGCCGCTCGATATGCAGGTTGCGTCTGCAGACTTCATAAATGGTTTCATTGTAGATCATGAAACCACAGTCTGAATATTCCAATGTAGTGTGGGTGCAAAGGATTGCGATGTAAATCTGGACAACGGCTTTTGAGATGTGTGGTGCTGAGTAGATTGAAAACTCAAGTTTAGACTTCTTTCCGTAGCCCAAACTGAGACGTTCCATCATCAGTGAAGTGAAACCGGTGCCTGTTCCTGCCCCGAAGGATTGGAAGATGATGAAGCCTTGCATGCCAGTGCATTGATCGGCAAGTTTTTGGATCCTGTCCAAGACCAAATGGATAACTGTTTTGGCCGACTGTATAGTGATCACGGGCATAATTGTTTGCAGCATCCTCTTTTTCACTGATGAATTGTTCTGGATGAAACAGCTGCCGATATGTTCCAGTTCTGATTTTGTCCATCTATCAGAACTGCTCTGAAAACGTGTTTGTCAGCACCCATTTCGCTGAAGAAGGTCTGAAAGGAGTTATCTTCACCTCCAACAGTTTTATCGCTGGGAATTTGTCCATCAGGTTGAATTCCATGCTCTAGATAATAGAGCTCCCAGCAGACATTTCCGATTTGCACACCACCTTGGCCAGTGTGTAAACTGATGACTCACGCATTTTTACGCTTAAGGAGATTTCGGTTTCGGGGAGTGGCAACCAAAGAACATCTGTTTCTTCAAATTGAAATTCCTTGGGATACGTGTTTTCCAGTTTATACGAATAAATTGCGTTTGTTTGGTTGTTCTGTGGGGATTATATCCTTCGTTTGCGTTAATGTGCGCGGAGAGGATGCTGGCTTGTGAATGATGCGAATATAAAAATTATTTAGCACATGTGTTCTTAATGGCATATACCAGTTGAAGAACAAGATCTGTCGCTGCCCCATTATCAACCGCTTGGTAGACGGTGGCAATTTCAGTTGGACAAAACCAACTCACCCGAGGTTTCATTCATGCTCGAATTGCCCCAACACCATGCCTCTTGAGGCATCTTACAAATACAGGAGCGAATAGACGTAAATTTATGAGTTCCAAGAAGCAGTTCAGAAGAAGAAGAAGAAGAAGATGTGATCACTAGAACAAGGGTTTTATCTTCCTGACGTTTCGGATTCTCTC